GGAATCGAACTCATGCGGGAATCGAACTCATGCGGAAGTGGCTTAAGCTTCTCAGTGCTGTGCTTTAATCCGCTGCACCACCAGGGAGGGCCACCAACTTTGTTATTTTAAAGAATTGTTTTGGCTATTTTTAGTCTCGTGTTCTAATTTTCATGTAAGTTTTAGAATCAGAATCAGTTTGTCAATGCCTTTCAGAAAGTTTGCTGAAATTTTATAAGAATTGTATTAAGTTTACAGATGAAACTGAAGATAATAGTGTCAACCGTTCTATGAACAAATATGGCCACGATTTTCTAGCATACAGAACATAAACATATTCTGTTAGTTTTACACATAGTAAGTACTTTGGTTTTAAAAGGAACTATTTTTTTTTTATTTTACTCTTTTAATGAGTTAATATTGGTTGAAATCCTTTATATCATGAAAGTACAGGATTCCACCTTAGGATTCCACCATAGGATGTGCACCACCAAAGAACCTGAATTCCTCACCATAGACCTTTGTGCTCCCTCATTTCTTTGTTTATGTCCTTCCCTTTCTTCCTCAGGGGGACATTTTTCAGTGGTATCCTTTTTTTAATTAAATATTAAACAAATATTCAGGTATTTGTTACCAGTATATAAAATAAAATTTTGGCACAATGGGTTAGGACACAGTACTGCAAGCTAGCTGTAGCTGCTTCAGTGTGAGTTTAATCCCTGGCCTTGGAGGTGACCCACATGGCATGGCAGCCTTCCCCTGTGTCACTCCGCTGCTCCTCTCAGCAGTATACATGTATTTTATCAATCTGCCTGTTCTGCTCCCCACTCTGTCTCTGGTGGAGCCTCTCACCACCGCTGCACCTCTGACTTGTACCCCAGTTCTGTATGACTAAATAAGTATTTTTTTAAATGTCATTAAACACCTTCACAAAGTCTAATAAAAATGCCTATATTTAAAAATAAAATTTACTTCTGCATTAGACTTTTATCCTGTGTTCTAAATTTACTTATTAGTTCTGGTTACCTTTTTGTGTATACTTTGGGCTTTCTGTGTAGGCAATCATGTATTTTGCGTATATGGACAGTTTTATTTCTTTCTAATTTGTTTGCTTTTCATGCCTTATTGCAACAAGCTCTTGGATTTCTATAGGATATATTGAATAGGAATATTGAGGGACAACATCTTAGTGGGACGTATATTCACTTTCTATTGCTTCCACAATGTGGATGATTTAGACAACACAAAATCTCTAGGATTGAAACCCACCATGGGTATCACTGGACAAGATGTCAACATGACTGTCAGTTCTACTCAAGTGTGTGTCAGGTATTCTTTACTTCCATTTGGATTCAGTTATTCTTATAGTTCCCATTCTTCTGCTGAAGTAACCCATCTGATATTTCAGTTTAAACACCTTTTCTGTAGTCTTTAATTTTTCAGTTACTATAATTTTTAATTTTCTATCAGATATTTCTAACATTTGTGTCATATCTGAATCTGATTGTATCAGTAAATCCATCTCTTGGGAGTGTGTTTTCACTTGGCTTTTCTTGTGCTTTATAATGGAAAGTTGAAAGCCAGGACTAGTCAGTAGATACTGAGGTGAGATGAATTTTTATGTCTGTTAATGGCTACATCTTTACATCTGTGAGGCCTTTATTGTGGGATGTTGAGAATATTTGACCTAATGTAGGGGAGGAGTAGATTGTGCTGGTGTGTGAGTTACGGAAGTCCTCAGTGTACTACAGGTTTCCAGTAACTAGAGAGCTAGTTTGTTTCTGACTTGGGTAGTTGTTTCCAGAGCAACATAGTGGTTCTGAGTTTCCCATCTTTTCCTTTGTGCTGTGCCTTTCAGAAAGTCAGTTTACAAGCTCTCTATGCCTCTCGATAATCTGCTTGTTATTTTAACTATAGCTTAATTTATATTAAACTAATTAAGTTTAATTTGGTTTTATTTATAGTTTTATTTCTTACTGAGGATTAGGAATACCTGAACAAATGTGAAGGCAAAAGGGGGGGGGGGGCAGAGGGAGTAATTATATAGAAGAATTGAAGATTTTGAAAAAGGAAAGAAAATGAAGCAGTAAAAGAGCATCATTAGAAAGACAAACAAGTTCATTGAATGCAGGAGGATGTAGAATCGTTTAAGTGAAACAACTTTTTCTAAAAATATGACTCATTAATTTCAGAACTTATAGACTGTTTGCATGAATGCTTGATGTCATAAATCCTGTTTCTGTATTAGAAGAGACATCAGGGCCCTCCCTGGTGGTTCAGCAGGTTAAAGCACAGAACAGCAAGCTAGCCACAGCTGCCTCAGTGCGAGTCCTATCCCCAGCCCCAGAGGTGACCCACATGGTGCGGCAGACCTCTCCTGACCCACCCGCTGCTCCCCTCAGCAGTGGACTTCATCAATCTGCCTGTTCTGCTTCCCACTTTGTCTCTGGTGAATTCCTCTCACCACCTCTGTGCCTCTGGCCTGTACCCCAGTTCTGTATGCACAAATAAATAAATCATTAAAAAAAAAATGAAGAAACATCAGAGGTTAATTTATTATTCATATCATATTTTAAGACCAATCCACTGGGTAGGTCCTTTTATTCTTTCTTGTTCTTAAATACATTTAATAGAAATGTTTGAGAATCCTTTAAGAGATACTCTCCACGCTAAAGATTTGAATTTTGTGTTCTACTCCAAATATGATGATGCTTGTTTAATGTGAAAATGCCTGCCACAATTCTGTTCCATCTATTAAAATCAGTGCTTTAGAATGCTATAACATTCATTCTCTGGTTTTGCTTACTGCTTAATACAAAGCTAATCATCTTGGTTTGGGTATGTTGGTTAGCTTTGTATGTTAAACAAATGAGGAAATAGTCCTTGAATAGGAAGGAACCTTCTGAAAGCTACATAGCTAGTTAGTGACAGTACCAAGATCTGAATTTGTTTCCTGAGCTTCTATTTAGGTGATATCTGCTAGTATATTACACTGTATTAAATTTGGATCCAAATTTTCTTATTTCAATTATACCTGATTTGAATATTCTTCTGTAAGACAGTATTACTTGAAATTTATTTGGTGTTTTCCCCCACAAAGTATTATATATTTAAATTTTCTTGGGACATGATACATAGAGGGTATTTCAGTTCACATTAACACATTGAAAGGATCTGACACATCTTGCATTAAAGAAATACATAGTATTTTTAGTGTTTGGTTTTTTGTGGGTTTTATTGCAAGACTTTAATCTTAAAACACTATAGAATGCTGATTTTGTTATAACAGAGTTGGTAGTTACTAACCTATTTAACTTTGGAAAGTAGCATTAGATTCAGCATTCATATGGGCACATGTAGACTAATTTCTCAGATGATGGAAAAGAGAAAGCAAGGGAAAAAAGATCGGTTAGCCCTACTTATTTAGATTTGCAAGTATACATGCATACTCTTACATGCTCTTTAAATTATTAGAATTCGCCAAATCTAGATTGATTTCTGGCTCAACCCACCTTTTTAATCACTCTTGGCCTAATAGCACTTTTAGCTTGTCTTCACTATACAGTGAAATATTGAGCCACTTTAAATCCTAAAAACCTTTCTCCAGTTGATCATACATTGTCTGTATCTGTTTATCATGGTAATACAACACAAAAAAGAGATGCAGCTCTTTTTTCCTGAACTGGTAAACGTATGGGGATGAAAACTGAATTACATTGCTGTTTGAACTATCTAGAAATAATAGCTAACACATACTTATCAATTTTAAATGCCAGGTACTCTCATGATGCTTTCATATATTAGCTACTTTAAACCTTTTAAAACTTTTGAGTTCAATATAATATTCTTTGTTTACAGTCAAGAAGCTAAAGTTAAGTAATTTCCCATTGTACTGATTCATTTTATGTTGTTTATTTACTCATGTGCTGATGGACATATGGGGTTGCTTCACCTTTTGCCTATTACGAATACCTTTGTGAATATAGGTGTACAAATACTTTTTGAGATCCTGCTCTAATTATGTTGGATATAACATTGCATAAGTAATCATATGAGAATTCTTTTTAATTATCTGAGGAATTGCCATGGTGTTTTATATGACAACTTCTATCAGTTTACTTTTCCACATGTGTGCAAGGGTTCAGTTTCTTCATATTGTCACCAACACTTGTTATTTGTTGTTGTTGCTGTTGTTGTTTTTCAGTAGTAACCATCTCTGATGGTATGAAGTAACAGCTCATGTGGCTTTGATTTTCATTTCTCCAATGATTGATGATGTTGAGCATTGCTTTATGTGTTTGTTGGTTATTTGTATGTCATTGAAAAATTGTTCAAGTTATCCTTGCCCATTTTTAATCAGTTTATTTTGTCATTGAGTTATAAGAGTTCTTTACATAACGTAGGTGTTAACTTACTAGATATTTTCTACCATTCCATATGTTGCCTTTTCATTGTTGTATCCTTTGATTTAAAGTTTTTTTCATTTAATGTCCTGTTTATTTTTTATTTTGATGGCACAGCTAAAGAAACCACTGCCAAATTCATTGTCTTGAAATTTTCCCCCTGCTATCTAGAAATTTTAAAATTATTGGTCTTACCTTTATGTCGTTAATCATTTTTGAGTATATAAAGTAAGAGTCCATCCTTGTTCTTTTTCATATTATGTTCAATTTTTCCAACATTGTTGAAAACATTATTGTGGTAAGCGACTTTAAAATGCTATGGAATGGTGAGTTTGTGTGTTTTTTCCTATTTAAACGGTGTTTTTCAAAGTAAAACTTACTTAATGTCACTCAGCTCTTTTGATTGTGATAATTTCACATTTGGGATTTTTTAAATATCAATCTGTAATGTATTAAAATTTTCATAAGACAATTTCCTTTTTTAAAAAATGCCTAATTTGTAATAATAAAAATGTTTTTCTTTTACATAATTCTCTAAAAGAAAAAAAATGTACTCAAACCCAAAGTAAATTTTGGAGAAATGCCTCATAATTTTTCCTGCCTGCCTTTTGCTTATAGGGAAGCAGCACGAGAGTGTCGTAGGAAGAAGAAAGAATATGTGAAATGTTTAGAAAACAGAGTGGCAGTGCTTGAAAACCAAAACAAGACACTGATTGAGGAGCTAAAAGCACTTAAAGACCTTTACTGCCACAAATCAGATTAATTTGGGATTTCACTTTCACCCCATATGGTGGAAAAAGGACTGGCTTGGCCACAAACAGAAAGACAAAATAAACATTTTATTTTCTAAACATTTCTTTTTTTTCTATGCTCAAAACTGCCTGAAAGCAACTACAGAATTTCATTCATTTGTGCTTTTGCATTAAACTGTGAATGTTCCAACACCTGCCTCCACTTCTCCCCTCAAGAAATTTTCAACGCCAGGAATCATGAAGAGACTTCTGCTTTTCATCCCCCACCCTCTTCAAGAAGTAATTTGTTTACCTGTAAATTGATGGGGGGAATGAGGAAAAGAAAAATTTTTTTTAATGATTTCAAGGTTTGTGCTGAACTCCTTGATTGCCTTAGGGACAGAATTACCCCAGCCTCTTGAGCTGAAGTAATGTGTGGGCCGCATGCATAAAGTAAGTAAGGTGCAATGAAGAAGTGTTGATTGCCAAATTGACATGTTTTCACATTCTCATTGTGAATTATGTAAGATTGTTAAGAGACAAGCCCACTGAAAGAGAATTTTAGTGTGGCATTGAAGAAATTAAGAATGAATTTGGAGTGTTTTCTATGTGCATTCTCTTCTTCAAGACTGAAAACTTATCCTTGGTTCTCAAAAACATTCTGTATAAACTATAGCTTTTCCATAGGGCAGTTGTTGCTTCTTATTAATTCAGCTTTGTATGTGTTCAACATTTCTGAATACATTAAAAGAAGTAAACAACTGATTGAGAAAGCATGGTATTGGTATTTGAATTTTAAATTAAAGTACAAAGCTTGTTTTAGGTAGTACTAAATTCCTAGTTTTTTTAAAAAAAAAAGATACTCATTAGTAAGCCCAACCCCTGGAGTTACAGAACAAGGTTTTTAAATAAATGTTTTTGTCATCGCTTCAAAAATATTTATATTGTCACTCCTTTACTTAAAAGAAATCTCTATACTTTTCCCCTTTGCACTTGCATTATGCCACCAACAGGAAAGCCTTCAAGATGTTAAATAAAATAAAGTGATATATATGTTTATAAAATATTATGTGTTGTAGAAAAATCTGATTTTAATTTTTTTTCCCATATTAACATACCTTTAACGAGTAACCCTAGTGAGTTTTCTAATGAAAGAAGCTGTAAGGATATAGTCCTAAGTAAGGGAGTAGATGTATGCAGAAAAACTAATATTCTCCAGGCATATCTGAATGACTGCTAGCTACACTGGAATATTTGGATTGTCATTCATACAAAGCCTTTGTTTTCTTCTAAAAGGATAGTGATGCTTTAGCTTTTGAGTATGCTATAGGGCCTTTATCATCTTATAGAGGAGCTACTTATTTTAACTCCTGTTAACAGTCTGTATTTGTATGTATCATACATTGTTTCCAGTACTTTTAATTATTAATTACTCATTTAAGCCTGATAAATTTTAAAGTTACCCTTTGAAGGGATGGAAATCAACATTGTTAGATTATAATTTCTCATTTGAGAAAAGGTATTCCTTTTACAAGTCTAGAAAATTATTGTTTTATATTTAGTCATGAATTCTTTTTGAAGGTCAAGTTTGTTATGTATTAACAAAATATGCAGATATGGGCATTAATTTTCAGGTCCATTTTGAAAAGTGAAACTTTTAATTATCTGTAAGGGGTATATTTTTGTTTGTAACAAACCATTGTCTTTTTTCAAGGATGAACAGTTTATGAAGGAGCTTCATTCTAAGAATTGAGTGATGTAGTCTTATATTTGGACAATTCACCAGTCTCAAGAAGGCTTTCAAACAACTGTAAAGTTTGATGTGTGTCCTGCTGAGCTAATTGGGAAAGTTACAGCATAAAATTTAATTGCTAACAAGCATAGATAATTCATCTTCCAAAATTGGTTATACAGAATCCAAGCAAAATTACAAATCTTTCCACAAACTAGAACTTTCTTAATGAGTCATAATGTCAAAATTGAACATTTTGAATTTTGCAAGTTTTTTTAAATGAAATTGTTTGGTACCTAGCAAGTTGTATGCTCTAAAGTTAAATGTTTTTCAATAGTTGAGGTTTTTAATTATAAAGTTGGTGGTCTTTTTAGTCACAGATAAATCAAGGCAATCATATCCATATTAGCTGGTTGGGTTTACAAGTTATAAAAAACTTACATGTAAATTACAAAAGATCCTTGAACCTTGAGGATGACTGCACTGGTTTGAAGTCAGTTACTTAATGCTTAAAGGTGAGGTAAGAAATACATTCTGTTGCTAAGTTTGTTTTAGGTAAGTTGGAGAGACTTGAACATTTCAGTTTTATACAGATAGAAATTCAGCATCTTTTGTGCAGACTTTTTTAATAAGTTGGTATAAAAGGTGTCCATTTTTAAGCATGCAACTTTGAGAATCTTTATTAAGAAAACGACATTATCTTAAAAAAAAAAAAAAAAACCTGTAGCCAAAAACATGGCCACAATACCAGTAAAATGTTTCTTATTGGCCAAAAAGGAAATGAAAGATGTCATCATAGGAATCTGTATATAGCAACTGATTTGCTTAGAAAATAGCAAGTTTGGTATTGCTCACTTTGCAAATATAGGGCCAGGTGGCACTTTTATCTGTAGGACAGATTAATAAAAATTAAGTGGGGGGGGGTTTATTTTTGATATTACTCTTAACGAGTTTTCAAGCTTTGGTAGTGTTTAACTGAAAAGTGGTTTAGAAAGGGCTAGATCCAATGTGTTCACATTATTAAAAAATTGGTGTCAGATACAATTTTAAGTTCATTATTCAAACTCAAGTACCATATTGGCAACCATAATTTGTCAAAGGTGCTGTTCATTTAGATATTCTTAGGGGGGATATGGCATTTGTATAAATATGTGTAAATATATATATATATATATATACATACATACATACAGTATATAATCTGAAGCTCTGAGAGCTTTCAAGTCAGGAATGCTGAGTATTAGAGTATATTGAGGTCAGATGAAATTTTACACTTTTGCGTGTTCTATTGCATCCCTTTTGGTAGTTCCTTGGACTGCATTACTCCAGCACTCATGATCTAGTTTTCTTCTAAGTATTTTATTTTTTGCTGTTAGTTTTCTTTGGCTTGATACTTTTAAATGTTACTAGTCACTTGAAAACTCTTTACCCCCCTCCCCCCAAGTATTTGGTTTTTATGCTTTGTCTCTGGCAGCTATGACAGTGGTAAGAAGGTTTTGAAGATAGCTTCTAAAGGTACCACTGCTTTTTCTCAGAAATCATCCTGGGGGAGGAATTTTGATGTTGTTATTTGAGCAGGGATTTTTGTCAAGAAAATGTGTTTGAGTAGGTAGGTCAGCGGCAGTGCTACTATCTGAAAGCACAATACCAGTCAGGCAGGCTGTCCGAGCAGAAGTCATCTGGCTGAAGTTTCTCTCTCTCTCTCAGGCCTAATCCTTTCATTCTAACCATTTGGGGTGGCATGTGGAATCATACAAAGGCTTAGGAAGAAAAACAAGTTTGTTTAAACCAGGACACCTTTATTTACTTGAATGACTTCAATCTGGATTTCTTTTCATTTTTAATGTTTTAAATTCTGTGATTAGCTATAGAGCAAATGATTAGCATAAAACAGTATTTTGAAGGTCAAAGGCTGTTTCATTTTGCAGGACTGAAAAAAGCTACTATCTTAATGTTTTGATCAAAGTGGATTTCAGAAACAGTGGTTGCACACATTTTCAGTGATTTTCAAGAGGCTTGGTTTTGTTGCCTTTGTAGCCCAGAAATCATGGTATATTGTTTCCCACTGACCTAATACAAGCATTGTTTATTTATTTGGATTATATCTACATTATATTCTTTGTAAATGTTTGGTGTAACTTGCACTTTTAAAATTGACCCAGTTTGGGTGTTAGCAACTTGAAAGTTCAATTGTAAACTGACTCTTTTATATCTTCCTCTGTTCAAATCATGTGATGATATTTCAGCACCTAAAGGCTAGGTTTAGAAATATCTGTAAAAGAAGAATACCTGGCAACTAGATCTGACTAGGCTAATTAAAAGGTAGGTTTGAACCCTATCTTACTCTTTCATCATGGGTAAAAGGAAAATCAAATCAAGTGAATGAATAACTATCCTTACCCCAAAGTTAATCCTGCCTATAGGATGCCAACATGTTCATGAATTTGTCAAAAACAGTAAAAGATTTTTTTTAAGCATTTAATTATTGTCATCATGGAAACCACATGCAATCACCTGACTAAATTTTTTTCCACTTTAATTGGCTTTACATCAAAGAAATGCTGCCTAAATTTGACTGGTTTCAGATGAAGGGGGAAAGTGAGCTGTGCTTAAAAGTGAAGAGTTGTGAGATAAATTTGTTCACTCAGTTGTACAAAGCACAACTAAAATGTGTTGGATGGCTTACATGCATCTTGAGTACTTTTAATGTTCATACGTTGGCTTTTTTAAGTTAACTGAACTCTCACTGTATGTACTAGGAACTGGTTTCCTTGACTTTCTAGAATCCATGGCCAGAAGAGGCACTAATCCCTGGGGGGTTGAACATATCATGAAGCTGAGTCAGTATGGAAGAATTTCAAATAAATCAAACAGGGTGCTGAAGTTCCATCTGTCTCATCTGCTTATGATAAGTTCTTATTGATTAGTGAATGTAGCTTAAGCCTTTGTATGTGTCCTCAGGGGGCAGGCAAACTTTAAAGAGGGACCAGGTAATGTTTGGAGGGATTATATTTCAGGTGTTTTAGCTTGAAATTTATTTTTTAAAAAAATTAAAATAGAAAAAAAAAAATAGAACAAAGCCTGTGAAGCAAGTTGGTTTTAAACAGGCAAAGTTGTTTAGCACAGAGAAAACATTGATCTGTCTGCAATCTGGTACTGTGGTTGCAGGTCCTAGCTGGGTAGGACATGTTACATTTCAAATTTTTCTCACCAGCAAGTAAAGAAAATGAACAATCTTCAGGCCGTGTCTTTGAAAAGGGTCAAACAATAGGAAATTCAAATTTTGTAAAGGAATTATTTAATACTTGCCTACAAAAGCACGGTCTTTCCAAACTTCTGTCCGAAGAACATCTCAGAGATGTCAATCTGAGATAGTTTAAAAACTGGTAGGGAAGAAAGAAAATCCCTGCATATGATGATCTTTAGTTGGCTAAGTAAAATGATCTACCATTGTGTTTGGGAGGTTTATTTTCTTATGTTTTTAAATTGAACTGGTAAGTGCTTTATAGATATTTTTTATCCAGGTGCCACTCCAATGTGTGTATGTAATAAAATTATTTATATTAAAAGCAGAAAATAATTTGTCAACCTTATTCTGTGAGTCTAGACTTATTGGGTGGCAGAGAAGAGTGCTAGTTAGCAGTTTTCCATGTGAAGTTGTCCCCAGCTGATTTGTCCACTTGTCAGTTGTCATCCCCATCCAGAAAAGGAATTATTTCTGAACCTAGAAGTATCATTTGAAACTTTTTAGAAATAAAATAATCAGGGACGTTTCTAGGGAGAAGGTATTTGGTTTTGTTTCTTTGCTTTTTTTTTTTTTCCTTGAGGATTTGGGGTTAAGAATACCTCCCCCAAACCTATCAGCACAAAACAGGGTATTGATTTTTAACTCTGATGTTGCTATTGGAGTTGAATATTAAATAGATAACTATAATGAGGGAAATACATTTCTAACAAAGTTCCCTACATTCTAGAAACATCCCTGTTTTAATTTTTTTACCTAAATCTTTGTGCTTTATCTGTGTAAAGAGAAAAAAATGTACTGAGTTATAATGCATTTTATTAACACTATGTACATATTAGCTGCTTTGTGTTCAGAATGGTAGCAATTGCTTTGTATATTAAAGTGATCCTTGTGAATTTGTGAAATATTGTCATAAAGTGCTTTTTCTTACTGTAATCTTTGTGGTATCAACTGTCATAATGCCCTTTTTACACAAACATTTATGTGCAGTCACATAAACATGCTTTTAAAAACTCTGTAAGTCTCTTTTTTGGGGGATGGGATGTCTGTTTTGCTTCTGCCAATTGTGTTAATAAGCTACATTTTGGAGTTAGGATTATTTTATTTTGTTACATGAACATTCAATCATATTAGGCTATGCTGCAAGCTTGTGTTGCATGGCAACAGAAACACTCCAGCAATAAGAACATACCTTCGATTAATTTTACTGTATTTTTAATTTTTAGCACTTTTTTAGTAAGAATGATGTCTATTTGAAGATTTGCCCTACTCAGACAACTGATGGGAGGCATGTGACTGTGATGTCATAAATCTGTGACATGCAATATATGCAAATACATACTTCCTCTTTTTACATAAATGCTTTTTTTTTTTTCACCAAATGTATCTTAGCAATAGTTCTATTTCAGTACATGTCTACAAGTCTAACAGGTATATAGTATCCCATCGAGTAGGTAGAGTTTACTTAACCAGAACCATCTTACATGGATGTTTAGGTTGTTTGAAACATTTGACTGTTACAGACATACAAGTGTAGATAATACAGATACTCTATAAATCTGTGTCCAGGGTAGATACTGAGAAGTGGCAAATAGTACGTATGGCTTCATATTTGGAAGTTTTTTTCCTAAGAATTAAGAACCTGTTAAATTAATAAAGTATTGGTTAGCATATTTTTATGTCAAGCTTCACAATCTTTAGAAAAAAGTTGAAAGAAGCAGAACCAGCCTTACACAAGGTTGTCATAGGTGGGCCTTTTACCAAAGAAATGGTGGTTCTTAGTTAGAAAAAAAATGTCAATGCTTGTAGTGTTACTAAATTTTAATCCCTTCCCTATCTGTAGGAGGAAAAGCATGACATGACTTTTAGATCAGAAACATTCTGCATTACAAATCCTCAAGTCCCCACACCCACACTTATGCACCCTTCAAAAGCTCTCATTTCCCAATTTCTGCAAATGGTGGGTGGTGGCTGTAAGAAGAGGTCCCTCTCCTGGTACCTTTAGTTCCAAGGTCATTCCCCTACATTCACTGACAGTCTCACAGGGACACAACGGCCTGTCCCTTGGCCTGAACATGATGACTGCTGTCCCAGCCCTGAAGAATTTGATGAGGACTTTTCTGAATCATCCCAGTCTGTAACCTCACCTTGTCCCTCAACCCTGTTTATTTTAATTCCTCAGAGATGTTGGTCAAAAAAGCATGTTCCCTTTTAACTTTCTACCTTCATTTATTTCCCCAGGGTACCTGACCAGTACATTTTAAACTCTTAAGAAAATCACTTACATTTCACTGAGATAACCAAAAGACTCCTGTTGAATTTTTCTTGCCTTCTATTTTTAGGACAAAAAAAGTTTCCTTTCACCTCTTCTATCTAGTTCCCAGTAATTTGTGAAGACAACCCAATCACTGCTTACTTCATTTGCTAGGACATGCAAGCATCTTGTCGAAGTTTTCCATTTACAACAATGTCATTTTTATACCTATCCCCAAAGTCAGGGATGTTAAAAAAAAAAAACAAACTTCATTTGTAATAACACATAAATGAGAGTGAACTTTGATTAAGTGTTAATGGTACATCAGGATTTTTTTTTTCCTTTTTAAAGAATCAATGTTCATGGTTCAGGACTGGCATCTTGTGATCTGGCAAGCTATCGCTATTTGTAAGTTGTACATTTTTCATAATTACATTGTTATGGTACATCATAGAATGCTCGGGACTTTTGCCTTTCTATTTTTTTAAGATGTATTTATGCATACAAGAGCTGGGGTGTAGGCCAGAGGTGTAGAGGGTGAGAGGATTCACCAGAGATGAAAGGGGAACAAAATAGGCAAATTGACTGAAGCACACTGCTGAGGGGAGCAGCAGGCAAGACAGGCCCTGCCTGTATTTAAGAAATCTAAAGTACATGTAAAAATAATGTTATGGATATTTTCCTATCTAAGATACTCATTAAAAGATTTTTTTTTTAAAGAAAGGTCTTGTTTCTATGTTTTACAAAAGAAACCTATGCCTAGTACCAAATACACTGCAATTATTATACCGTTGTGGTCTAATTTGTTTAGGCTTTTGCTTAAGTTCTTACAGTGTAAAAGGGGTTATATGTATGACTTTATAAAATATATCAAAGATAATCATAAAACAATGTAGCAGTTATTTGGTTTTGCTACTCTAGGAAGCTAGGGAGGACAACAATGTAAAAAGAACAGGTTCCCAGTGTTCAAGAGGCTTCCAGTGTCCTGGGGAATAGGACATTGAAGCAGCAATTGCATACACAATATGGGAGTACATAATATGTCCCAGAGAGATGAGATTTAAAACTTGTTTTCATTGTCATTGTATACAGAGGTAGGGGAAGTCAAGAAATATAAAAGCAACATTTGAGAAAGGGACAAAACAACTATTGAGTTGAAGAAGATAACCAAGTCACTGCACACACAAACCCATGGGAGCATTCAAAAAGTAAAATTTTATTTTTATTACTCCTTTGTTTTTATGTCTGACTTTAAGCCCCCCTCCCAAAAAAAAAAAAAACTACCATGGTATGAGACTCAAAAGAATCACCTAATCAATCATAAAACAACCAAAAGTACTTAAAACCTAAAATCGAGGCAGATAAAAGATTTCAGGAGCATTAATAGCTCAGGAAATGTCTGTTAAACCCCTTGTTTTATACTCTCAAAGATACAAAATTGGACCAAATATATACATGAATTGTGTATTCTAGAGCCTCACCCAAACAACTGCACTAGAGATGCCTTTGTACAGGATTGTCACACTGGGAGTGAAGAGGGAGCAGCATGGGTCACAGAGATGACATAAATCAAAATCTTGGGCTTGCCTTTAATGTTAATTGAAATTCAGAGTAAAATATAACTAAAAAGTAGGAGCAAGGGAACACATGTGGCTTTGCTTTACAGCCGCACATGCTTTGTGCAGTGAGAACCTTTAGACTTTTTGTTCAGGAAGTCATTTCACTGAATATGGTCAGAGTTCCAGCCTAAGATCTCAACTGAGCACACTCACAACATTCCTGTAAATATGGTGAATTATAAGTCCTCCCTCAGGTTTCTCTTCTGTGCCTTGTAAATATGTACATCTTTTTCAGGATCATAGTGAACCTTACTCACAGTAAATTGCCTCTCCAGCATCACTAAGAAGTTGTTATCCCGTTCATAGCGAATTCGGCAAGCTAAAAGAATCATCGAATGGTTGCTACAGAGATGTTCCAATGTTTGAAGAAGATCTGCAAATGTTTCTTCTAAATATATGATATCAGCTCCAAGTATCAGGTCAAATTCTCCAGATGAATAACTCCCCAAATTTTGTCCCCAGGTCAATTCTTTAACAACAGCTTTGGGTTGGATATGGGGTGGTAAGTTGGCTTGAACATTTGACTTAAGAAATTCTAATGCTACTTTTCGATCCGTGATAGTCACATGAGCACCTAGAATGTGGACAGAGAAAGTAATGTACACATCAGTACAACTAATAGATAACGACTCACATTACAAGGCAGGCTGAGGGTCTCTAGATACCTCCTGATGTGCAAAAGAAATACCTTTCATGATGGCTGCAGCAGATCCAATTAGTAATCAGTAGCTCCTTTTGCACTGCCTATTAGTAACCTGGTTGTTGCTGACAAACCTACTATTTGCGCAAGTTGTGCTCATAAAATACAGCGTCCCAAGTGACAGGCTGATGCTTCTTCTGATTCTGCAAGCAGAGCTGCCCCTCTCGCCAGCTGTCTATGCTTCACTCATTAGCTCCTAACTCAAATCAGTAGGTCTCAGTGCAAAACAATCCAAGAATGAAAATCTAGGAGCAAATGATTATAAAGACGACAAAATATCAAAAATAGACAAAGGCTGCTTTCTGGAGTCAAAACTTTAAAAAGAATTAAGGAAGAGATTAACTGGCTATGAAGGTATCCCAATCCAGCTCTCCTAATGCTGACAACCTATATTTATGTAAGTTTAGAAATTACTAGAATTATTAAAGTACTAAGGGTTAAGATGAGATCATGTTATATAAGAGCTAAATTCATACATGCAATGTAGAAATGAGGCAGTATTTTATTATTCTGTTTCTGTGGGTGGTTTATTGTGAATTAAAAGATCTGATTTTTTGAAAGAAGAATGAACTGCTACATACCCTTAAGAGGAAGCTCAGAAACACCTTCACGTAGTGACAGTGCAATTCTGCTAAGCTTTGGCCTTGTAAATTCTGCAATTTAATTGTTGTTATTTTATAAAATTATTTCTCACTTGCATGCTTCTTCAGCTAGTAATCTCAACGGGCAGTCCCCTGACCAGCCAGACAATTCCAGTAAGCACTGGCATGAAACATTTCAATGTCATATACCTTGACCCATAATATTAGGGTGGTATGTAATTCCATTTGACTTTTACAGTCCTGATGAAATTGTTCAAGTTGTTTGACTTCACAAGCACAGACCTCCTATCACTTTGACCACGCACTGCTACCCAATGTGTTGCCTGATAAACAGTATTCAGCGACATGGCTCATCTCTCTCTTGATGATCAAAGTCAGATGGCCAAAATTTTTCCTTCTTGGACTTAACCATCTACAAAGCACTTTTGCTGGCAACAATGAAGTGACCTAGTCTTTGCACATCGCCTCAGTGTTCACTTTAGTAGCTTTTAGAGGAAGATCACTCATGTTTCATGAGGTAAAGCGGCTGCAAGTACTCAATGTCCAGATCCTTACCACATTTGTTTGGGAAATTTCTATAAAGGAAAGTTTCTATCAATTTGGTTACTCATTTTGTATAAAACAGGAAAGGTGAATAACCTTTGTTACCCTTCCCCATTTTTAAATAAAATTTCAGAGTTGTTTTCTAACATCCTCCAGAGATGACTGATTAGGTTTACATTTTTGCTTTGTGTTATGAACTCATGGGTTAAACATATATGATGTACTACACCACTGCTGTTATCATTACTGATGTTCAAATTGTCCAATCACTTGCCAGTGGACTTTGGACACAACCCCAGTCACCTGGGAGAACTCCTTTGCTACCTAGTAGGACAAGATATTTTTGGGTTGTCTTACACATTTCCTGCCACAGACCTAGAATCGTCTGCTAATAAATAACTGGCTGGTTTTTAAGTTAATTGATTTAAAACTCAGTCAAGTTTGGTGGGAGAAACACCACAAGTTTGTGTGTTTGTGGGATGGACAGGTAGCTACAGGCGAGAAGCACTAGAGCAAGGTCTGAACAGGTATGAGGGGATTGGCCCATACCAGGCAGACATCTGCATCCGCACAGAGGCAGAGAGGCAGGTGGGTGAGAGGCAGATGCTCTCCTGGTTGCTTCAATGGGCTCGGTGATGGAGCAACGTCATCAGCTAAGGGCAGGAAGGGAGAAGGAAGGAACAGAAGTGGGCAGACAGGAGAGGGGGTGGGGTGTGCCTTCTCAGCAGCAGTAAGAGCCCCTCAAGGTTCTTGATTGGGGTTTTAGATGAGACCCAGCAACAGGATGTCTCATCCAGCCACACCCAATTATGGAGGCACAGATTGGACAAGCAGGAGCTGCACACAATTAGATCTGTGCCCCTCCGGAAAAAGATCAAGCAAGGAAGGGTGGGTGAGCCTGAGATTTACACAGGGTTAGAGGGAATGAGACAGTATTAGTTCACCAGAGGCTAATGGAAACTGACCCAGTAAGACAAAATAGCCTGCTGTCGCCCCCTTGGTAATGGAGAAAGACCATGTAAACATCTGTCATAACTTTCAGCTTTTTGTTCTGTAAACAATGCCTGCATTTATTCAAACATTTGCTCACATACTATGTACTACAGCTACTGGAGAGAAAGTCTTTGCTCAGCCTCGTGAGAGAGGCGTAGGCATAATGGGACCCAAAATGTGCCATGGAATCTAGGAAATGGGAGGAAATGCTAGGAAATTAGTGGCCATAGAGGTGAAAGTTGTCAAAAGGAACAGGGGTGAAAGGTTTGAGAAGGAAAAGAATTCTGAGCTTACACTTTTTTTTTTTTAACATTTACTTATTTAAGCTTACAGAACTGGGGTACAGGCCAGAGGTGTGGTGCATGAGAGGATTCACCAGAGACAGAGTGGGAAAAGGAACAGGCAGATGGACTGACATACACTGCTGAGGGGAGCAGCGGGCAGGTCAGGAGAGGCCTGCCACACTATGTGTGTCAGCTCCTGGGCTGGGGATCAAACTTGTGCTGCAGTGGCTTCGGAGAGCTTCATAGTGCTGTGCTTTAACCTGTTGCGCCACCAGGGAGAGCCCTGAGCTTACACTTTTAAAAGTGTAACATTAGCCAGGGGAAATGGTAAAGAATATTCAAGGCAGATGGGGCAAGCTAAAAGCAGTGTCTATTCCTTGAACTCAAACAGTGCAATCACCCTGCAAAAAAGTAAGGCTGGGGGGCTTTCCTGGTAGCACAAGGGGTTAAGCGCAGCACTGTGAAGCTATCCGCAGCTACTGCAGCAGCAGTTCGATCCCAGGCCAGGGAGGTGACCCACATGTACGGCAGACCTCTCCTGACCTCCCTCCTGCTCCCTCAGCAATGGATTTCAGTACATCTGCCTGTTCTGCTCCCCACTTTTTCTCTGGTGAATCCTCTCACCCCCACCCTCCCTCCCACTCCCACCCACACTTCTAATCTAGACCCCAATTCTAGTATGCATAAATAAATAAAATTTAAATTAAAAAAAGAGGATTAAGAATCAGGCAGAATGAAATCACAGAGCCACTCTAAGGCACCTGAGATTTAGGCCACAAGCAGTGGGGAGGCAGAAGAGTGACTGATACAGGCCACTTTGACCCTTTAGGAAAGTGGGTCCCCTTTTCCACCAGGAGACTGGGTTGTAAAGACAAAGCAAAGACAGAAAAGTCAAGTGGACAGAATCAAAGAAATGCTGAGAGTTCGAGAGTTCCTGCCAGGCAGTGAGAACCGAAGGGAGGAATGTAGTGAAGAAGTAAAGGATGAATCAGCGGGCCCCAGGGAAGGGGTGGGGAGTGGAGGACAGTGACGAGTGGACTGCAGTGACTACTGAGACAGTGGGTCAGCTCAGAACAAAAGGGAAAGGGAAGAAGAGTTGATGTTCATGTGCATATTATTTGAGGTGCAGAGAAACAGCCAGAAGAGGCAGGCAGCTTTTCAGTGAAATGTGTAAGTTGAAAGCTCAATGAAGACTTGCACCAGAACCATGGAGAATGAAAAGACAGTTTTTTCCTGAACATTCTAAGATGGTGGTCCCTAAACTTGGTCAGGCATCAGGTCACCTGAGAAACTGAAAATCCAGATTCTCTGACCCCACCCCAACTTACAGAACCCTACCTTAACTGGGATTTTTGGTTTTTAAGCTAGTCTCCAAGTATCATAAAACCTGGTAGAGCTTTTCAAACTAAGAACCAGGGTTTGAGCATCCACAGGATTCAAATTCTAACTCCACAATCCAGTAGATTCCATTAGCTGAGGAGCCCGCATTTTACCATTTAATGTGCTCTCTGAGAAGACCGGCATGGCCGTGGTGAGAGATTAAGGACACAGCACCCAGACCTCCTTCACTGCCAGCAGTGAGCGGCTATCTCTGCTTTCAAATGGAAAAACCTCATTGTTCTTCATTAACATTTTTCATTGCTTTTTTGTTTGTTTGTTTGTTTGTTTTTGCTACCTACTGTTCTTCCTCCCCCTCTCCCAGTTAGGGCTACACTGGGAAACTCTGAGAGCAGCACCCTCTCTGTAGTGCTCACTATCCTGTGTGCAGTACAAGGTGGGTCTGCTCTGAACCAAGAATAGATGACAATTCCTTGTGACTCGGTCTTTTTAAAGTACTTAAAAACCAGGCCCTCCCTGGTGGTGCAATGGGTTAAAGCACAGCACTAGGAAACTAGCTGCAGCAGCCCCAGCGGCTTCAACAGCTTCAGCACAAGGTCAACCCCCTGCCAGGGAGGTGATCCACATGGCGCAGCAGACCTCTCTTGTCTCGCCGTTGCTCCCCTTATTGTATTTCGTCAATCTGCCTGTTCTGCTCCCCACTCTGTCTGGGGAATACTCCCACTGTGCCTGTACCCCAGTTCTGTATGCATCAGTAAATAAATCTTTAAAACAACCAAAAAAAGCATCTTTTTCTGCTTTGTATGGCAGGTGAAGTACTAGGACCAAGACACACAGAAGGGACACAGTCCCGTTCTTAGGAGCCTCAGCCACGGGCAGAGACAGATACACAAGCAGCCACCATGGGGCAGAGGTGGGAAGAAGCAAAGCAGTTGCTTTGGGGCAGGCAAGGATTCAAAGGGCTGACATTGTAGCCAAGCCAAAGAGCTCACATCTCTCAGCCACTGTGCCCCTGTGCCCTGTCCCACAGCCACCAGCTTCTGTGGCAGCAACTCGTCCCTCACAGTGACAGTTTTCAAAGAACTTTTCCTGCTCCTCCCAACCACACAGATTCAGATTTCTACATCTGACGCAGAGCTCCTCAGAGAGGTAGCCCACACTTTCTGAGCGGTTACCTTGCACCAGTCAATGAGCAGAACTCTGTGCACGATCCCGAGTGAGGCCTGAGTCTCACCGTGGAATGAATGTGCGGGTGTCCATCCCACCTGATGATGGGCACACTGCAAAGTGTGGCCAGGGACTGACTGGAACCAAGGAGAAATGGCGCATTCTCCTGGGGCGCAGCTAGCAGATGTGCCCCATCTGTGGGCACGCAGATGGGACACGAAGCAACTTGTAAGTTGCTAGTAGGAGTTAAAAGACCAATCCAGGCCCTCCCTGGTGGCGCAGCGGGTTAAAGCACAGCACTGAGAAGCTAAAGCCACTTCCGCATGAGTTCGATTCCCGCCTGCCCCGGAGGTGACCACATGGCGTGACAGACCTCTCCTGACCCGCCCGCTGCTCCCCTCAGCAGTGTACTTCGTCCATCTGCCTGTTCTGCTCCCCACTCTGTCTCTGGTGAAGCCTCTCACCCTCCGCATCTCTGGCCTGTACCCCAGTTCTGTATGCATAAATAAATAAATCTTTAAAAAAAAAAAAAAAAAAAAAAGACCAATCCAAATGTAGACCGATGTGCTTTACCACACCGGCACCTCTCCGTGCCAGCCAGCTGCATCTTACACAAAGCTGCAGTTCTCAGGAGGACAATTCCTCTTCTGCTAACTCCTCAAAAAATCAACCGAGAGGGAAGAGACAATGGAAACCAAAATCAGTTTACACTGACTTTTTTTCGATTGTTGCTGAGTAGCTTATTCTCCGCTGAAGTGTGCCCATCATCAGGTGGGATGGACACCCGCACACCAAGCCTGTCTCTCAAGGGACTACACAGCTGATGGGAGCACCTCCTTTTCTCCTCCACCCTCAGCCAACCGCAGGGTCTGACAGCCTCCTCACATCTGCTAGCTGGGCTGCAGGAGAATGCGCCATTTCTCCTCGGTTCCACAGTCAGTCCCTGGCCACACTTTGCAGTCTTAAAAGTGTTTTTCAGAAGAGTCCTGTACTTTCCTTGGACCCCATGAAAGGGAGGAAATCTCAGAGGAAGACTTAACTGAAATCCAACACTACTTGGCTCTACGCTCTACCTCTCCACTCCGTATCTCCAAGAGCTCACAGCCGCCTACATACACTCCTCACCAGAGAGCTCATGCACTCCCATTAAAAGGTGGAGGGCAAAAGTCCAGGCAGAGAAAGGAATATTAAGAAGTGTTACCAGAAAAAGGAAAGGACAAAAGAGGGGCTTTCAAGTGTGGTACACAATGTGATGGAATTCCACACCTCACCACCAAGGACGTCTGGGGACCTGCGGTTTCTGCCTTCTCACCACCTGTGTTAGGAGTCCACAGACTCAGGCCCAAACCCATACACACAGGAGCACAAACTGCATTTAAACAAGTGACCAGATGACAATACTGAAGTGGCCACTTTTAGATATTTATCTCAGAAGCCGGTCTATCCACTCATGGAATGGCTTGAACTGCAGGAGCCAGAAGTTACAGCAAGGTGTCAACCCATAAGTAAAATAAAAATGAAGCTTTAAAATGCTCTAGGCCTCAATTAGTGCCTGTAGACCAAGCAAAAAAAGATGACATACTTTGATTCATTTAAATAGAATGTTTAATAGAAGATGTTAACGCTACTGAAGCCAAACCTCCCGAGAGGAGAAAAACAGTCATATTTCCTTAGTAATAAAGGAGAGAGCCCATTTGCTCTACCTATCTATCAAGGTTAATCTCATAATGTATGAGAGAAAACCTAAAATGTTAAATAAAAAAAAAGAAAATTCTTTTTAATTCTTTAATTCTTTGAACCCCAAGTTACCTTAAGATCATATTCACCATCACAGAATTGGAGGGGCACAGCAACCTCCCAGATACCTTGATTATAAGTGACAGAATAGCGCAAGAGAGAGGCTGACAGCACCAGCAGCTAGCCCGTAACTCTAAGTATAGGAGAAGGAAAAGACCCAGCTGAGGGAGGACAGCCATGGGTCTTTCATCATGAGACCAGACGAGCTCCTTTTATGAGGGGTAAGCCACAGCATCACACTCACCCAGCAGGGCAGCCACTATGCCCACCAGCCCTGTGCCAGCGCCCAGCTCCACGGCAGAGCAGCCTCTGAGCTCCACAGCGCCCATCTCCAGATACGTGGAAAGAACGACGGCCTGAGTCAAAACACAGCGATAGGATTAAGGTCAGCATGGCTTTGGGTGCTGAGGGTTCCCGCATAGGTTCACTGACTCTCCCTGGAAGACACCCCAGGCCCCCTCCCACTCAAGGTTCACTTCCTAGTTTTATATCACCAGCAGCAACTGAGCCACCGCTGAGAAGCACCAACTGGAGCACAGGCACTGAGCCCTGCAGCCAGCGTGGCCGCCCCAGCCCATCTAAGTCTGTAAGAGGAACAGCAGCACCCTGTGGTCAGTGACCCAGCTCCATGATAGGTCCTGCAGAGTCTGGGACGTGCGTTTCTTAAGGTACCACAGCACTTTAACACTTGGGGTCTGCAAAACTACCCTGGCAGAGCTATGGGCAGTCTCTGTTTAAGAGACTGTTTAGTGCCTAAACCAAGCTTTCAGCCAGCAAGGCCACAACTTCACCTGGGCTCCAAGGCTCCTGCACTGGGTCTCCCTCATAAGTCCCTAACAGGCATCACGCCATGGAGGCCAGAACCACATACTACTGGACATCAAGAGTTACTTTTTGGCAAAAGTTCTGGATACTAGATGTTTCAGTTAGCACTTTCTATGATTCTATTAAAGCACTGTTAACATAATTTTTTAATAAAATTTGTTTTTCAGGGCCCCATACTATTAGAGCAACTAGCAATTTTTTCTTGGTGAGCATGTAGGAGGCTCTGTCTCATTATTAGTTATTGTTATCACTTATTCCTAGAATATTTTTTCATGTAGTTGGTTGTCTTCGACTAGATTCCTAGAAGCAGCATCATTAGAATATATTATAATTTTTAGTTCTAAATGTTTCTCTACCATCCCTAATACACTGCTAACTGTACACTGTAAAACTGTCTCTATGCCATCCATTTATTTAGCATTAATGGCGCTCCCCTGAGTCCCAGGTAAGGTGCTAAGGCAGGCAGATCAGTGTCACAAGTAGTGCCAGGAGAAAAGATTAAAAGGCATTTACAATATAATTTTGTACGCATTAGCAGGATGGAAAACTCAGAGAAAACACAATTTTCCTTTTAAGATTTAGCACTTTCAGCATTCTCTCTGCAGTATTTAAATTTTTTAACTAAAAAATGAACTCGATGAATGTCCTAACGCATTAGGGACCCTACCTTCCTCTGAGTCCTCTCTCCTAACCTCTTCGGGTAAATCACTGGTAAGTCCAAGTCCTTAAACTTGGCTCGGCTCCCTTTTATTCACCCTTAAAATACAATCTGTTTGAGAAGGAAGTGACTCCAATGGGTATAAGTTTTTTGAGAGGGGGTGGGATGACAAAAATACTTTAAAATTGTGAGTGGTGCACCACTGAGTTAACTTGAAAAAAATCACTCTAAATAAGTGAAATTTGTGGTCTACGAATCATATCTCAATGACGAAGTTCTTTTTGAAAAATATAGAGCAGTCCTATAATCAACTGCGGCTGACTAGCAGGCCCACAAACCCCCCCACACCCCCACTCAACCACTCACCCCCTCGGGCTTACTCACCGCATCCCAAACCACCGCTGCCACTCCCAGCTGCCTCCAGTCCTGCCTGATACGGATCGTGTGGTTTGCAAAGGAGAAGGTAGCAAGAGGCTTGTGGAATTTCTGCAGCCCCATTCCCGCGTTCTCCTCATAGGGCACCAGGGCCATTTTGCCCGCGCCCTGAGCAGAGGGCCGCTCTGCTCCCTAAAACCTGTTAGACAAAATAATCTGCGTGATGCTCTGGCCAGGAAATTCGCTCTCTTAAAAGACTCCACATGCAGGTCATCTTACAGGTCAAAGGGGGAGATGGGGGGAGCCTTTACCCACCTCCTTTTGCGTAGCTCTTCTCCAAGTCTAGTGAGAAGTGAGATTTTGCTCTGAATGCCAGTCAAAGGAGGTGTTTGGGCACAAGTCCTGCGGGGTGAGCTACGCACTCTACTGTTACCATTTTGAATTCCGGGGGGCAATGCGGCAGACACAGCCGAGGGCCCTGGGGATGCCGACACAGCAGCGCTTTCTAGGCTGCCCAGGCCCGCGCTGACCGCAGCTGCAACCCACAGAATATTCTTCCGTTCCCAGTGGGTCTTCCCTCCATCCCTTCCCAATCGGTGCGTTCAATCGTGGGCACAACGGCCCGAGCGCACTAGACTGGTGCCAGTGGTGTGGCGAACCAGCCTTTGACCCCGGCTGGATACACACGGTGGGCGCAGCCCCACCGCGGGGCTGGAAACACTCGTGAGCTCGGAGTCGAGCGGACTCCCGCGGCCCCACACCGGCCCGGCCCGGCCGGCCCCGTCTCGGGCCGACAGGTGCGTACGTCCTGCCCGCGGCCCCCGAGCTCCCGGCCCCCGCGGTGGGCGGGAGTAGGACGTGGACGAGCGGGACGCGCACTAGGGGCCCGCAGCGCCCTTCGGGCCTCTGGGCGCGGGCGTCCGCCTCACCGCCAGAGGGCTCGAAGCTTCGGGGCGGCGCC